TGTTAAACATGGCAGCTTTGAACCTATTGAAGAGAAGGTTCCCGGTTCCAGGCGGTAGATGTCCTCGGCACGAAAAAGCGACAAATGTTCCAGTCCACTCATGAGATTCATCGCCTCGAACAATAAAACGTCCACACGTTCTGAGTCTCCGGCGGTCCTGTAGATTAATACGTTAGACTGTTCGAATGAAAGCAAGAGAAACTCACTCGGCATCCCAGAACGTAAACGATCGTACAGCGTCCGCTCGGGATGGGTTTGCGATAAGCGCCGAACAAAACGCACTGAGGCTGTCTAGACTGTCGCGACGAACGACGACGGCACGGGTCAAAACAGGCAGTGAGAGGTTATGGAACAGTTTGGACACGCGACAGAGGGTCGCTTGGTCGTTTCTTGCTGCAGACTCCACAATGTCGGTGATGACCTCGTTCGGAAACCATCGGGTGATATCCATCCGTTCCTCGTATTTGTCTCGCGTCGACATGGTCCCAATTGCACACTGAGCGCGATCAAGTTGTGGTTGAAGTTGGTGGATCGAAAGAGAGCCCATCGACAACATGTGCAAACAACACCAGTCAACTACTTCAGTTACCAGCAACTCAGATCTCCACGCTGTGCAACAGTTGCACTCTGTTGCACTCCAGTCCTGACGCCAGTCCTGAGTTTATTTCTCGCACGCACTTGCAACGACGTCAGCCTCCCAACCGCTAGCCAAGTGGAAGGGCATAGCACAGAAAAATAAAGCGCGCAGATACATAGAGAACAGATAAGCAGCGCCAGGACTAAGTAGGTAGGTAGTTAGGCAGGCAGGCAGGCAGTCCGCACATCGTACAAGGGACACGGTACGAAATACGAGACATAAGTAAATTGGATTCAAGGAAAAGAAGAAATAAATGAATAGGGAGTCGGAGTTGTAGACGGAAGGGCATAGGAGGAGGGGTCGGGTAGGATGAAAGGGAGGAAAGGAGGAAGAGTGCGGAAGGCAAGGGGGAATAATAAAACTATAAACAGCGCAAAATGCAAGCGTTCGTCGGTGAGGGTACATAATAAGTAAGGAGGCGGGAGATGCAGACGATGCGAGCGTGCGCGGGTGGGGGGTAACGAGTGCGGGTGGGTAACGGCGCCGTCCCGAGGTGCGGTATGGGTGGCGAGGAGACGCGTCGAAGGGACACGTCGGGGTAGAGAGTAGGTTTTCGGTCGGTGATGATGATGGCACACAGAGAGACGGACAGCAGACGAGAAGAGACAGACAGACAGACAACACAACGGCGACGGGCGCCGAGAACCACCCAGAGAAATGCACGTCCGTCCGAAGCCGTCTACTCGTTGGCCACCTACAGACAGACAGATCAGTCAGCCAAGTCAATCGCCGACCAAATCGACACGAAACCCACCTTGAGCACCCTCCGGCCGTCGCCCTCCTCCTCCCGGTCGCTCTCATCCTCCTCCATCCCACCCACATGCCCATGCATGCTCTCCAGCCCGCCATACGCCCCCGTCCCATCCTCCACATGCGTCTGGTACTGCGACACATACCCGTCCGCATACTGCGGCATCTCCTTCCCCCCAGCACCCCCGCCCCCGCCCACCGCGCCCCCAGACCCGCCCGTATTATACGAGTCCACCAGGCTCCGCGCCGCCCCGCTCTTACTCCGCGCGAGCACGTCCGAGCCCGACGAGTGCGCTGTCGTCGCTGTAGGCGGGTACCCCGCCGCCGCCGCGTCCCGGTCCTCCCCACCATACGCATACCCATGCCAGTCCTGCCCCTGCTGCGCGACCTGCCCATTATGATACCCCGTCATCTCGTACGCGCCCGCGCCCGCCCCCACCGCCGCGGCCATCCCCGCGGCCCCGATCCCCGCGGCCCCATACCCCGCGTACCCCCCCGCGTGCGGGTACTGCCCCTCCATCGGCGGCTGCGCATACGTCCCATGGCTGCTCACGTCGCTGAATCCGAGGTCCGAGTACCCCGACGGGTACATGTAGTTGCTCGGCGTGCCCCCGCCGCCGGGGTTGCTGTGCACGCCACTGCTCAGCGCGTCCGACGCCGACGGCGCGTAGCCCGCGCCCGCCGCGCCGTCCGCGACCGTGTATGGGTCGCCCCCGTGCGCGCCGTAAGAATCGTTCCCGAACCCGTCGATCGGGGCCGCGCCGTACTGCAGTGAACGAGTGAGTGGGTGCAGGATAGAGGGAAAGAGAAGAGACGCACGCCGCCGCCGGTGTACGGGTCCGAGTGGTAGTTGCTGTTGTAGTCCTCGTCGTCGACAAACACCGGTGCCGGCGCGCGCTTCGCCTCTTCTGCGATTTCGCGGTCGAAACGTCTGGCCTGGGTGAAAAGAGTAAAAAAGTCAGTATGATGGGCGAATGGGATACTGCGGGAGGAAAAGACAGAAAACAAAGAAGAACCCATCCTCCCTCCCACACAATCGCACTCCAAAATCGCGAGGCTCCAAACGCGATAGAGGGATCATACTCCAACACCCTGAGTCTGAACGGCACTCGTCCACATCCACATCCTCATCCTCGCCCTCGCCCTCGCCGCTAAAAGTCGCTCCAGACGCCAACGCCGACGCCACCGGGGCGGTCCATCATCCCTGCGCTCTAGACTGCAGAATGCAGAATGCAGGCGCGCCCAGCCCTGCGCCAAACTACACCGAAACTCGACCCCACACCCAAACCCAAATAGTCGGCGATGCGGCGATGCACCTACGCAACGCACAGGTGCATAGGAACGAGCAGATGGCGGGGCGGCCTACATATGCACATCGGTACGCCTTCAGACCGCATCCCATCCCATCCCATTCTCGTCCTCGTCCCCAGACCCCACTGGATGGCGAGACGAGCGACGGGCGCGGCACACAAGCATAAGTCCACACGACTCGGACCGAACGGAGTCGCAGGAACGCCCCCTCGACGTCGCCCTCGACGTCGCGAAGACGGCGCGCCTACCCTGCACCTGCACCGGCGGCTCATCGTACCCCCGCCACGCGCACCACATCGCCCGCGCCCCCGCACGCTCCACGACTCGAAGGAGGAGGAGGAGGAGGGTGGCGCCCAAGCAAACCAAAACCAGAGCCAAACCGAAACCAAAACCGAAACCAAAGCGGACACACGGGACGCGGGACGGCACGGCGCACGTGGGTGCGAGGGGCATGGGCACAAAAGGGAAGGGAAGGCCCCCGCAGCGGGCCCAACACCCTCCTCGCAAACCCCTCCCCCCCAAAAAAACCCTCTCTCTCTCAAAAAAAACAGCCAGACAGAACACATAAGACGAGAAAACGCTGAAAAAGAGAGAACGCATAAGAAGAAACGACGCACCCGCCTCCTCCTTAACGCATTCGTCACGAACGCGAACAGGATCCCGGCGGCGACGAGCCCGACGATGGCGAAGGTGGCGCCGACGGCGGCTTTGTTTTGGAAGAATCTGGGTGTTTTTTTTTTGGGTTAGTATTTGGCGGGTATGTCATCCGTAAAACAGGAGAGGGGAGAGATGGGGTGGTGGTTGGCAGGGGGGAGGGAGGAAGACGGAGGTAAGAACGAAGAAAGGGGAAGGTCTTGTGGGTTGGCTCGCGACAGGCCTTTCGAGAAGGAGGGAAGGATGGATGGATGGATGGGAGGCAGGAAGGAGGAGGGACGCCTCGGAAGTTGGTGGGCGGGGACGAGCAGGAGCGAATTGGGGGATGGGCAGGAGAAGGCGATCGAGACATGGGTACGGGCGGCTTGGGACTATGAAGGGCGATACAATGGAGCGGGTGTGGCGTGGACGGATAAATGACAAGGACAGGGGCGGAGAGATGGCATTGGGAACGGTGAGAGGCGGGGTGCGAAGATGAGAGGGGTAAGAGATGCAGGACGGTGGGAAGCGCAGGTGGATTGCAGCCCCACACCACCTCCCGCTCTGGCCCTTCGCCCAGTCGTTCCCCTTGCCCCCTCCCCCTTCCCGAGGTCGAGGTCGGACCCGCCCCGCCCCGCCCAAAACAACATGTGATTCCGCTCACATGCCAGAAAAAAGTGACAGATGGAATAGATGGGGGATGAAGGATAGGGAGATGGATGGATGCGGATGCGGGGAGGGGGTAGGGCGGTAGGGCGGACGACAATGCGCTCTCAAACCAAAGGAACGAAAGCAGACAACGGAATGGAAAGCACACAACGAAGTGAAGAAGAAAAAAACCCGAATCGAAAGGAAGCGCACGACGCACCCCTTAGTCGCCGCATCGACATTTGCGCTGGAGCTCGCCGTCGGCGCGCCCGTCTGCGTAATGGGGACGGTGTGCGTGAGGGTGACGACGCCGCCGCCCGTGCCCGTCGACAGCTGCAGGCTCACGCTGTTCCCGGTCGATACCACATTCGAAGCGCTCGTCGTTGCCGGTATGCTGCTCGCCGAGGATGTGCTGCTCGGGGCGGAGCTGGATGTTGCGGTCGAGCTGACGGAGCTGGAGGAGGTGGTGGTGGTGGTGCTGCTGCTCGTCGGCGGGGGGCTCGAGGGGGCGGAGCTTGAGGTGGGGGGCGGGGGGCTCGAGGAGGACGGGGAAGACGGGACCGAGGAGGCGGGACCCGTGGAGGATGTTCTGTGGGCCGTGTCAGTTTCGTCTCCACCTTGTCTCCATCCATAACGCACAAACTGGTGGCTGGACACAGAGTCAGTCAATTTCTTCACCAGGAAGACACAAATCAGGACGGACCCATGGTGGATTAGATTAGTATTTTTTTGTCGGGTGTGTTACATGCAGAGAGTGGGGTAAGGAGCGTGGGGGACTCGCAGCAGCAATCTTGGAGCTCAATCACTAAAGGGGACCAGTGCAAGAAGCACAACACAGGATTGGTCAGCAGACCTAGGCCATGTGAGGTGATCCGACTGAAACGCGTGGGGTAACTCTAGTCTCCCGTAAGTAAGTAAATATTTTTGCTTTTTTTGAGAACGGTGGTGAAACAAAAATGATCATGGAAAACGCAGGGCGAAGGAAAAAAGAAAGAAAAAACTCGGAGTCACAGAGTGTGAATGACCTGGCCCCGAATTGAACGGGGACCTCCCACTAACAGATCATCTTTGGTATGGTATGGACATCAAGTGGGTATGCACCATGCACCACCAGGTCTTGTAACCTCATACTCCCGTTGTACTAAGGTTAGCAAAAATTACAGCTGCAACACCGGACGAGGGGAATAAATCGTCAGTTACCCTGCGACAACCTGGCCCCGAGTCGAACGAGAAACTCCCACTATGGGTGGATACATCGAATTTCTCTCGAAGTACAGTGGGAATGTATGGCGGTCAATCTGCACATTTAATAAAAACAGGTTTTTTTCACCATTTGAGAGTTTTTTTGGTGCTTTTGAGCACATGAACAAGTTTTTTGGGGCTGTTGACAGTACCTGATTCTTTTAGCCCACCGTCGTGATAGTTTTCTCTGTTGAGCATATTTTATGTCCATACTCGAATGTTATACCGAGGTTCAGAAAGAAAGTTTCTTCAGTTTCAAGTTTTTCTTTCTTTCTTACAACATGATTGTTTTTTTTGAGTGTGAATGTTTTTTTTTTCTGGAGTGAACAACTTTCTTTTGTCAATGCGAAACTTTGTTTCTCGGTCCGAGAAAATAAGTTCTGTTAGGTGGCAGTGCTAACCCTACAGCCTGGCCACTTGATTGCCGTTCGCGTCGTGCTCGCAGCGCCGCAGCAGTGACAGCAGGTGCATACTCGCACTGGCATTAACATCCACGCTCGGGTTTCAATGGGCTCCCCGGTCCACACGGGAACAACCCAACGACCTCAAACCTTGAAGCAAGGGTAAGAATTCCTGTATGCAGTTCTCTATCTTCTGCCAGGACTCGGAAGAAAGCATATCCACAGAGATTTCCGCATGCGATGGCTGTAATCCAAGATTGAGTGTTTGAATGTACGGTGCAAGATGTGGAGAATGAAGAGCTTGTGGAAGGCCTGGAATATGCCTGATGATGGCATACCCAGAGGTGGGAGATCTGTGAGGCCTGGTGCGAACCCGTTCCGCAGACCCTGACCGAGTGCGTGGAACAGTGCGGAAAAGGCCCCTTTCTGGGCAGGATGTCTCCAGGAACTGTGTACCAAAGAGGAGTTGTACAACACAGAGAAATCATCTATAAGGAACTGCACAGTGTTGGCGACAAGCTCCAGTGGGAAGTGCTGGGCCCTGTGGGATCAACTTAGGGTTAGCACTGCCACCTAACAGAACTTACTTTCTCGGACCGGGAAACAAAGTTTTGTATTAACATAAGAAAGTTGTTCACTCCCGAAAAAAAAAACATTCATGTTCGAAAAACAATCATGTTTTGAAAAAGAAATAAAAAGTTGAAACCAAAGAAACTTTCTTTCTGAACTTCAGTATAACTTTCGGGTATAGGCATAAAAACTTGCTCAACAGAGAAAACTATCACAACAGTGGGCTAAAAGAATCGGGTACTGTCAATGGCCTCAAAAAACTTGTTTATCTGCTCAAAAGCACCAAAAAAACTTCCAAATGATGAAAAAAACCCGTTTTTATTAAATGTGCAGATTGACCGCCATAGGAATGCACCATGCATCACCAGGTCTTATTGTTTCATACTCCAAAATGGATTAGTCTGAATCACTTGGCACACCCTTTAGGGGACTCCGGTTTGACGTGATCGAAACGTGACTGCACGTGGACTTCGGCGTTCGCCGGCGCGACCATTTTGGGAAGCGAGTAAGTCGCGTCGCGTCCCTCTCTCTTCCTCTCACCGTTTCCACTCTGCAGTCGATAAGTTTGCTATAAAATGTACTCTTTTGACACCTTTCCCAAGTATGGAACCCGATTCCGCCTTTGTTCCAAATAGTCCGAGCCTAAAATGCTAAACCGAGATACATTTTGCAATCTCTCCTCTCCACACTTGCCCTCTGTCTTTTCTTCGAAGACCATGGTACTTGAGTGTAAACAGATTCATCTGACCTCTCATTGTCCCTAATTTTCTCAATATCTTGCGACTAGTATACATGTAAACTCGGATGACATCTTCAGCTCGAGTACTTTGGAGCCGGACTCGGTGTATAATAAATTCTGGAGTCCGATCTTTGACCACAGCAAATACAACAATGATATATATTGTGTCGTAGTTCGTCTTGCCGCTACCCGTCGGGTTCATCGCAAAGAGATTGCTAACGCTGTCAGACTTTGCAGACACCTTCTAACTGATAACCATCGGGGACATCTGAGTATGGGACTGGGTTGGGCTCTAGAGTGTGTCAAATGAGACTGTACCTTTTGGAGGAGTTCCAAGGAAGGGCTCGGACATGAGAGGAGGAGCGAGGATGCGCACAGGCGATTTTGACGCGTCGGGTAAAATCGGCCCGGCGCAAAACGCACGTGAAGTCACGTTTCGATCACGTCAAATCGGAGTACGGTATGACACCTGCCAACTGAATCAGACTCCATACTGGAATAATATCGACTATCATATTATTCCGTGGAGTCTGACTACGGGAGACTACAAAATGGATGTAAGTTTAACGAAAATTACAGTTGCAACACAGGACGAAGGGGACAAAATTGCCCGTGGTAACCTGGGACTACTTGGCAAGGGGCCCGAGTAGACCGGTAACCATTCTCTCTAAGTATGAAGTGGGAAAGCGTTCATAGAGAGACCGGTTGATTTGGGTTCAAATTTACAACATAAGACCCGAGGGATCACGTCTTTTCTTACAGCTGTTCTCGTATCTAATGAGATCACGCGTTTTTTTTTTCGCGCATTCCCAAAAAGGAAAATAGTTTCGATTGGCTCAAATTCAGGTGTTTTTGTGGGTCTAGAGGGCCTCCGCGATTGTGCGGAGCATTGGAGAACCTCGGGGAGCCCAATAGAGCACGGCATGAACCATCGGCGGCCGAAGTTGTCCGGTCGGTGATCAATTCACGTGATCTAGCGTACCGCATTCTTGCAATCATTTGGGCCCTCCCGCCGGTCCCTTCGGGGTGAAAAAGATATCTGAATAGCCTATAACTTATCTCAAGTCGTTTCAAGTCCCTTCACCCGGCTAATTGGTGTGTTTCGGAGTATTTTCCTTTTTGGGAACGGCCAAAAAAAATCCGATCGGTCTCATTAGTTTCGAGAACAGCTGTAAATGAAGGAGTCAGCGTCTCTGTGCGCGGAATTGGATAGAAAAAATCTAGAACACATTCCAAAAAAGCCCCAAGCATCATCGATCATCAAGCAGACATACCTCAACTGGAAACAAAAACTCAGCAGAATTCATCCAAGACCTGGCCCCGAATTGAACGGGGGTCTTCCACCAACACGAAAGTATTATGTAATGGTAGATAGAGTGGATGTGCACCACGCACCACCAGGCCGTTCCTGTCCCTTCCTGAACCTGGATTTATGCTAGTGTTCAGAAAACCTGCCCTGAGATTATTTATCATGAATTCTTGCTCAAGGTTCACTTCACCTCTCACTTCTTGCAATATTTATTGCAAATGCTGAACACCAATAATATCAATAAGAAGCAAAAGTCAGAGGCAGACACCAACTCTGCGACACAAGAAAAAAAAAACTTTTGTGTGGCTACACAATAATGACCCGGCCCCGATTCGAACGAGGATCTCCCACTATTAACATGTTTCGAATCACAAGTTAAGTGGATGTGCACCATGCCCCGCTAGGTCTTTCTTCTCCCTTCCTGAACCTGATTTTATACTGGTGTTCAGAAACCCTGCCCCACAATTGTTTATCATGAATTCTTGCTTCAAGCTCACTTCACTTCTTGCTTCTTTCTGTTTCCTGATAATTTTTGCTTGTGCATCAAATAAACAAGAGGGGGCTGTATGAACTTGTTGGAAGCAAAGAAAAGTGGCCTGCAATGCAGGAAGAAAAATAATGCTATTTTTAACAGTTACATCATGACCCAGCCCCGAATTGAACGAGGATCTCCCACTATTAACTTTTCCGAGTTGCCAGTTCATGTGAATGTGCACCACGCACCACCAGGTCTCTCCCCTCTCTTCCTGAACCTGATTTTATACTGGTGTTCAGAAAACCTGCCCCACAATTATATATCGCCAATTTTTGCTTCAATGCTCACTTTACTTCTCACTTTTTTCTGGGTCCTGATCATTTTTTTCTGCACATCAAATAACTCAGAGAAGGCTGTATGATAATAATAAATGGCAAAGGAAAGAATCAGATACCATCTCCACACAGGAACAAAAAAAACCATCATCTCTAATGACCCAGCCCCGAATCGAACAAGGATCTCCCACTAATTTCCTGAGTCAGAACCATCGGTTTAACTGGATGTGCACCAGACACCACCAGGTTTAATTCCCTCCATTCTTGAGTTGAACTTATGCAGGTGTTCAGAAACCCTGCCCCACAATTATTTTATTATGAATTCTTGCTTCAAGGTTCACTTCACTTCTCCCTTCTTTTCATGTCTTGATCAGTTTTTTTTGTGCCTCAAATAATGTAGACACAAGAAGGCTGTATCTTGATAGAAGCAAGAAAAGCAGCCTGCAATGTAGAAATAAAAATAATACTTTTACATGATTCCACAATGACCCAGCCCCGAATCGAACGACGATCTCCCACTAATTTTCGGTGTTTTGAGTCGCCAGTTTTCGTGGATGTGCACCATGCACCGCCAGGTCTTTCATATCTCTTCCTGAACCTGAGTTTATGCTGCCCCATAATTCTTCTCATAGATTCTTAGGTTCACTTCACTTCTTATGTCTTGCCATTTTTTTTGGCATCAGATAAGTAAGAGAAGGCTGCATGATAAAAGACAAAGAAAGAAGCAGACACGAGCTCTGCAACACGGAGGAAAAAAATTGTTTTCGCGTCGTATGACCTGGCCCCGAATCGAACAAGGATCTCCCACTAATTCCTTACTACAATCTCAATAGTATCAGTGAATGTGCACCAAGCACCACCAGGTCTTTTTCCTCCCTTCTTCAACCTGAATTTATGCAGGTGTTCAGAAACCCTGGCCCGTAATTGTTCATCATGAATTCTGGCTTCAAGGTTCACTTCACTTCTCACTTCTTTCTGTTTCCTGATAATTTTTTGCTTGTGCATCAAATAACCAAGAGGAGGGTGCATGAACGGAAGCAAGAGAAAAGTGGCCTGCACTGTAGGAAGAAAAATAATGCTATTCAATAGTTACATCATGACCCAGCCCTGAATCGAACAAGGATCTCCCACTATTAACCTGTTTCGAATCGCAAGTTCAAGTGGATGTGCACCATGCACCGCCAGGTCTTTTCCATCCCTTCCTGACCCTGAGTTTATGCTGGCATTCCAAAAACCTCCCCCACAATTGTTTATTATGAATTTTTGCTCCAAGGCTCACTTTACTTCTCACTTCTTTTCATGTCCTGATCATTTTTTCCTGTGCATCAGATAACTGAGAGGAGGCTGCATGAACGGAAGAAGAAAAGTGGCCTTCAGGGCAGGAAGAAAGATAATGCTCCTAAATGGCTAATTGCAAATGACCCAGCCCCGAATCGAACGAGGATCTCCCACAACCGGAAGTCAAAGTAACTACTTTAAGTGGATGTGCACCACACACCACTAGGTCTCATTCTCTCCATTCTTGAGCCCAATTTTATCTTGGTGTTCAGAAAATGTGGTCCATAATTCTTTTCATGAATTCTTGCCTCAAGGTTCACATTCTTCCCACATCCTGATTTTTCTTGTGCATGAAATAGACAAGAGAAGGCTGCATTATGATAATAAAGGGCAAAGGAAAAAACCAGACACCAGCTCAGCAACACAGAAGAAAAAAGAGTTTGTTCTTCTTTCATGACCTGGCCCCAAATCGAACGAGGATCTCCCACTACCGCAAGTCAAAATAGCTAGTTAAGTGGATGTGCACCACACATCACCAGGTTTAATTCCCTCCATTCTTGAGCTGAATCTATGCTGGTGTTCAGAGGACTTGCCCCAAGAGTATTTATCATGAATTCTTGCTTCAAGGTTCACTTCACTTCTCACTTCTTTCCATTTTTTCCTTTGCATCAAATAACTAAGAGAAGGCTGCGTGATAAAAGACAAGAAAGAAGCAGACACCAGCTCTGCAACATAGAGGGAAAAAATTGCTTTCGCGTTGTATGGCCTGGCCCCAAATTGAACGAGGATCTCCCACTACTGCAAGTCAAAGTAGCTAGTTAAGTGGATGTGCACCACACATCACCAGGTTCAATTCCCTCCATTCTTGAGTTGAACTTATGCAGGTGTTCAGAGGACCTGCCCCAAAATTATTTATCATGAATTGTTGCTTCATGGTTCACTTCACTCAAACCTCACTTCTTTCTGGGTCCTGATCATTTTTTTGGCACATCAAATGACCAAGAGGAGGCTACATGAACGGAAGCAAAAGAAAAGTGGCCTGCAAGGCAGGAAGAAAAATAATACTTTCACATGATTCCACAATTACCCAGGCCCGAATTGAATGAGGATCTCCCACTAATTTCCTGAGTCAGCACAGTCAGTTTGAGTGGATGTGCACCATGCACCACCAGGTCTTTCCTGTCCCTTCCTGAACCCAAATTTGTGCTGGTGTTCAGAAAATCGTTTCAATGTTCCCTTCACTTCTAACTTCTTTCCATGTCTGGACCATTTTTTTGGGGCACATCAAATAATCAAGTTTTCTTTTGAGGATTCGGAGGATTGAGGCACTTACAGTAACAAAATTGAATTATCATCATCATCATCATCTTGAGAATTGCGAAAAATCCCGGAATCAGCCGGAATTGGTGTTCCTCCAATGGAACTTGAACATCCAAGGCGTCGGCAAGCGTATTCATAATTCAACGGATCATTCCTGCCTGACTCCGGATGACCGGATCTCATGCCGAGCCGCGCGTTTGGCCGAATCGATCAAACGCGTTCAACCTTTAACCTGACCATCTCCATTGCTCCTCCCAGATCTCTCGCCCTCCACGCCTTACTGAACACGACACGCTCTTAGTCTTGAATCATGGGTAACTTCCTTGCTATAGTCGCGCCGAATTCCGCCATATCCACGGATCTCTATCCCCCTACGTCGAAATTCGAGCCAGGGAGGGATATTCCTGACCTCTCAGGCAAGGTGAGTTTTCCTTACAAGTTACATGTGCTGGACTCGAAGCTATGTGGCCATAAGATCGTCCTCGTCACTGGCGGGAACGTTGGGATCGGCTACTACACCGTGAAAGAGCTGCTTCTCAAGAACGCGAAGGTTTACTTGGCCTCTCGCTCGGCGCAGAAAGGCGCGGCGGCGATCCAACAGCTGGAGACAGAAACGAGTAAGAAGGCGATTTTCCTGCAGCTCGACCTGTCTGACCTCGCAAGCGTGCGCCGTGCTGTTACGACCTTCCTCGAGAAAGAGTCACGGCTCGAAATTTTGTTCAGTAATGCGTCGGTCCACTGCGCCTGCATACCATCCAGACTCTGACCGGCGTTTTCAAGTGGAGTCATGGCTTGTCCCACCGGGCTGCTTACAGCGCAGAACCACGATCTCCGTGCGTTTTTCGATCTCTTTTCATTTCTCTGGCCGCTGACTGTTAGCTGATACCACAGAATTTGGAACGAACGTCATTGGGCATTATTTCCTCACAGAACTTCTGGTGAGTCGAATTCACACCATGCAGTTTTAATTTGAACGTTCCAACTCATCGTTGCAGCTCCCCGCACTCGCTTTGTCGTACGAAACAAATAAAGTCCCGGCCCGCGTCATCAACACCTCGTCCTCGGGGCACAAGGACGCGTCTACGGGTATCGACTTTGTGTCTTTGAAAAGCGGGCCCGCTCGCGATGCATGGCTGAAGAAGTTCAGTGGGACAGCAGCGACATGGTCCGTTCAGCTCCTCATTATTCGCTTCTATTTATCCCCGAGGATGATCTGAAGGTACATGATAGGCGCCTCTACGGCGAGAGCAAACTTGGGAATATTATCGTTTCCAACTACTTTGCCAGAACACACGCGGATATTCTCGTCTCGTGCGCGCTGCACCCCGGCTCTGTTCGCACTGATCTCCAAAAGTACGCAAAAGTTGCCCCGTTTGCGTACCCTCAAATCATTCTGACTAAATATTCTCCTCAGACACCTGTCCGGTTGGATGCAACGCATGCTCGATCTGGGCTTGCTCGCCGCGTACTGATTCAATATAATCATCGACGGGTGAATCGATCCTTCCTGCTTGCAGCATCGGGCATACACCCAGTTGTGGGCCGGTACGACCGCGCCTCCCGAGCAGATAACGGGACAGGTGAGAACACGCACTACATGTACACTGGATGTTTTATTAAATTTTGAACTCTCTGTAGTATCTCATCCCTTGGGCGCATGGGTCAGGCCAATCCAATTGCTTCGAGCAGCAAGCTGGAGGAGCAGACGATTACATATTTAAAAGAGCAGGTGAAAGGATTCTAGGCGAGCCCTCCGTTCTGGAATTCTCGCGAATAAATTATACGTGGGTCCCGGTGTCTCTAGCTCGTGAGGAGTGACCTCATTAGAACCTTTGCCTACCCCTCAAGTTCCCCGCCGCATATTTCCACGATGATTCTGCATACATAATTGAAAGTTGGTTGAAAGCGGGACAAGGAAGCGGGAGCCCAAATGAGTTCTCAGGAAAAGCGGGATAAATGGAAAAAAAATGTCAATTAATGTGAATGAACCCTCGATCTAGCACCGAGAATGCTGAAAATTAAGTCCAAGAATCGGAATGTTGGTTCGGAGCTGTTCGGATGAATCGGATTGGTCAGCCGGGCTCGCGTTTGTCTACAACCGGCGTCAATAACACGCCGCCATCCCAGGCATCCCTCAGCCTGCGTTTCTCTTCGCTCATTACGGTTATCATGCCTCAAAATACTACGATGCCGGAAGCTACATGGGACGATCGTGCTGGCAGGAAAACTATTTCCATCTGGGATCGGTGGCAGCCAGCATGCGACGTCTGCGGTCGCCGCGAATCTTCGCTGAAAGAACAACTCAGTTACTGCTCGTCATGTTATGTGGTCAAGTATTGCTCTGTGAGATATAGCTCGGCCATCGCCTTCCCAAGTCGCTCACGTCTCCGCAGGCAGAGTGTCAAAAACGCGACTGGAGCGCAGGGGGTCATAAGAATCGATGCCACCTTCTCGAGATCGATAGAAAGCTGTCAGATGTCTTTTTGAAGTCTCTTGGACGCGGGTTCGCCCATGACCCCCCTCCACTTTCTCTGCTGAGGTCTGAATTCCACAGGTCTGTTAATGATCCTTCCCTCAGCCTTAGCCAAAAAGCGGTTCAGTGGTAAGTTATGAAACGAGCGTACCATGGCGAGCATCGGTAAAATAGCTCGCCTTGCAGGATTCACGCCAACTCTAGGAGTGCGGACTTAATTGCTTGTGCGGCTTTGAAGAATGATAGCGAGCTAACAAAGTCTGTGCACGTCGGCATTTTTCTCAAACTCGTCGGGGAACCTACACGCCCCATCTTCATTATCGACAAGGTGGCTCTCATTCCGAGGGAGGCCACCGAGACGTGGTCCAACGTAATGCTCGGGTTTTGCCAGCTTCCGGGAGGCCAAATGTCTTACACGCAGAAGTGGATGCTCTTCGTCGATTCCAAGACAACTCTTCCTCCAGGTTTCGACCTCCATCGCTATATCACTCACGTCAATCGCGGCATCACGCACTTCCATGCATCTTTCTGGCCCCTTCCGCGCAGACTTCCCGATGCTCAGTTCGAAGCAGCAGCACCGCCGGAGGAGTGGCTTGAGTACATGCGGCGGTTTCCTGTCGGTTTTTGCGGCCTCCAGGGTCAAGATGTAATCGGCGTCGAGAGGCGCGACGGTACTCGTGTCCCGCTCTACAAGCGCGAAGAGGCGGATCCACTAGAGTTCAAGAAGCTGCTGGATGATCCAAGTCGAAGGAGAGTACGCATGGTTCCCGGGCCCAAGTGACTAAACAAGTTTTTTGTCTCCTTGCCGCAGAAATTCAATGTGCCATAAAGATAAACTTGTGTTCATTCTTCATTCCCGGTCATCTACCCGAGTGTTCACATCCTGAAGGCCCTCTCAAGGTCATTGCAGCTCAGCCGTAACAAATTTGGAAGGTCTCAGAATTATGAGATCGAAGTACATGGAGTATAGATGCTTTATTATGATTATGCATGTTTTTCCCCGCATGTGGAGTGCCTTACGACAAAGTGATACCAGCCAGCGCCGGGAAATCATCCGGTGGATAGTCCTCCCAAATCCCATGTACTTTCCTCCAGGCCGAGCGATCTTGAAAATCTC